CGGTGTGTCCAGCCGGCCCCGCTGCTGGACGGCCGCCGCGGCCTGGCCGGGGCTGAGGGGGCCCGGGCCGCCTTCCCGCCGCAGCCCCCCGGATCCCCCGGGCCCCGCCGGTCCCGCCCCGATCCCCACCGCCCTAGGGCACCTACCGGCTCCCGGCGGCGGCTCCGGCACCTGGCGGCGGCGGGCGGGGCGGGCCGGGCTGGGCGGGCGGCGCCGCGGCGGGGCGGGCCCGGGCCGCGCTGGGCCAGCGGGGGCCGGGCCGGGCTGGGCCTGCCGTGCTGGGCAGCTCCGGGAGCCGCGGGCTCAGGGAATCGCGGGGAGATTTGTGCCGGAAGGGATCGTAAAAATCATCCTGTTCCACCCCCTGGCATGGCAGGGACACCTGCCACCAGAGCAGGCTGCTCCAAGCCCTGTCCAGCCTGGCCTTGGGCACTGCCAGGGATCCACAGCTTCTCTGGGCACCCTGTGCCAGGGTCTGACCACCATCACAGGCAAGAGTTTCTTCTATATATCTAACCTTAATTTCCCCTTTTGCAGTTCGAAGCCATTCCCCCTTGTTCTCTCACTCCATGCCCTTGTCCCCAGTTCCTCTCCAGCTCTTTTGGAGCCCCTTTAGGTCCTGGAAGGGCTCTGAGGCCTCCCTGGCACCATCTCGTCCCTGTCCTGCACATGGTGCTTTCCCTACCCAGTGTCCCAGCTGATGCCCACATGATGCCCTGCTCAGGCCGATGTCCTGCCCCACAATGCCCATGCCATGGATTCTGGCTGCCCCAGGACCAGAGAGCCTGTGGAACCATAAAGGCACCTTTGGCTCCAGTGGTTTTGGCTGCACTGCAGGGACTATTTAAAAGAGCAGTATTCTAACACAGCCACAGGTTTTCAGTCACTTCTCACCTGTCCCTAGGGCTCCAGAGATACTTGCTGTGAGATTGAGGTGTGCTGGGTCCCATCCTGCCCTGGCAGCTCTGCTGGGGTTGCTCTGGGCTGGTGGAGCACACAGCTCCCATTCCCCAGGCAGGAACAGCCGTGTGCCCTGCAGGCTCCTCTTCTCTCCTCCCCATGTCACAGTGAGTGGCTGAGCTGCAGGTGACAGCAGGACAGGCAGGCTGTCCCTATGTCAAGGCACAGTCTAGTGGGAGACATTGCCACAGCACCAAGTTAAAGTTTAGACTCTGAGTGGGAGATGCTGTAGGTAAGATCAGAAATATCTGCCTCACTCACACCTTGCAGCACAAGAACGAATTGTGGTGCCCTCCTGTCTTCTCCACAGGCAGCAAAGGCTGGCCCACAGCAATTTTGGCACTAGATCCCTTGTGAGACCTGGCAGTCCCAGGCCAGTCCCACCTCACATCTTGTGACCTTGGCTTTGAGCACAACCATTTTGCCAGCGTGACAAAGCTGAAGCTGGGACGTTTCTCCCCTTTGGACATCTTTCATTTCAGTTTGGGGGGAACTCCATCGGCATCACTATGGGCTGGCTGGGTGTGGCTGGTGCTGTGGGTCCCAGAGAAACATCCCCAGGCCCTGGCCTTCTCCACACACTTCTCAGCTCCCCTTTCCATGTCCCCATGCCTGTGGGGACCTGGTACAAGGTTCCTCAGGTCACAGACATGCTGCAGATGATCACCACTCTCTGCTCCCTGAAAACCACTGCTGAGGGCTCCCAGCTGCAGCAAATTTCCAGAAGGTGCATGCAGCAGAGCTGGGCCAGTTACTGGAGAGCTCTTTGCAGACAGGTTGGGCTCCCTAGAGACCTGCATGGATGGCACAGGTGCATGGGGTGACTGGGATGACAATCTTACACAAATCCTTATGGAAAATGCATTGAAGCCTCCTAAAAGGCTGCAGTGAGCTGCCTGGGTCCATGTCACCCTCACAGCCACTGGAGCAGCCACCCACCCCTGGTATCCCAGTGTCCTGGCCACCTCCATTGCCTTTGTCCCTCCTGCAGTGCAGGATTTTACCCTCTAAAACTTTTATGTCCTGGGAGACCCACAGGGCTGGGGAAGGGATGGCACTGGGGTTGGTGTCAATGTTTGGAGTTTCCTGTCCCATCCCAGGGGCTGCCCAGGCTCTCCCCTCCTGGAGCAGGGTGGAAGGGCTGATTTCTCTCCTGGTCACAGTAGAGCTGTCTCAGGAGCTGTAGCAGAGCTCTCTCTGTGATGTGCTCACTGCTGAAGTGCTGCAGGCTCTCAGGCTCCTTTGCTGGCAATGCCCCTGGGCTCCACCATGGCTGGGACTCTTCTCTCTCCCCAAAACCTCAGGGGCTGTCTGGTTTCAAACTGGGATCTCAGTCCTGAGGCCTTGCAGTGTTGGCCCATGATGCTCTACAGAGGCTGGGCTGACTGCTGGAGCAGCACGAGGCCATAGGGACCTGTCAGCCATGAGAGCTCCACGGGCACCGACAGCTCTGTCATGCCACTGTGCCAGGTTGTGTCACCAGATCTTTGCCAGGTGAACGGCAGGGCCACACTCTGAGTCCCCAGGCCACTGGCAGCCCCCTTGTCCCTCTGTCCCATGCACTGACATTGCTGAGGGGGGACATGGTCACTGTCCTCTGTGCCATCCCAGTGCTGGCCATGCCCAGGGCCTGGCAGCACTGCCAGGGGGTCTCCACTTTAAGCCCACCCAGTTTGGGATGTTGCTTTGCTGGGGGCCTGCAGGAGCTGGCACTGCCCAGAGCAAAGCTTTGGTGTCTGTTTTCAGCCAGCTCAGAGACCTGGAGGACATGGCTGCCTGTCTGGAGAAGGTGCAGGATGAGAATAAAGCAGCTGTGGGATGTAGAAGGTGCCCAACTGCTCCTGGTCTCAGCAGGTTTGAGCTTTGAACAAGCTCAGAGGCCTGGGGGCTGCAACCCCACATCCCACTTGTCAGGAACACATTGGGGCATCTCAGGATGCTCTCTCTCACCAGCCTCTCTCTGGGGCACCATAAACACCTCCCTGCCTTGCCTGGATTCTGCAGCCACCCAGAGCCACACATCTTCCTCAGGGGCAGGGAGGGGCTGGGCCAGCTGCAGGAGCAGTGCAGAGGCTGCACAGCAGCTGTGGGGTGACACCAAGGCAAGGACAGTCTCTGGGCACAGCTCAGGAGCCGCTTGTGCCACGGCTGGTGCCTGAACCAGGCTGGGCACAGGATTGCCCAGACCTGGCACATCCCCACAAGGAAGCAGCTCAGTGTGCCAGGATTTTGTCACCATGCCATGCTGGTGGAGCTGGGGACAAACAATGGTGGGTGGCTCTGAGGAGGATGAGGGGAGGTCAGGGGATGGTGAAGCACCCAGGTATGAACAAGGGGCTGATGGAGCAGGGCTTGGGTATGGTGAACAAGCACTGGCACTGGGCTCTGCAGGAGATGGCTGTCCCCCTGCACTGTTTCTGCTTCTCCCCCTTCAGCACTGAAGATCCCCCAGCTCTGCTCCTGGCACACCACAGGGATGTGCTGCATCCCCCAGTACTCACCCAGGTGCCTGTCCTGAGAGTCCCCGGCCACATGGGCAGAAATTCTGCTGAGCACTCCCTGGGGAGCTGCTGAGGCTGTCGTGTCCCACCAAGGCTGTTTGTCGTTGTGCATTGCAGCTGCAGGTGACAAAGCCAGGCTCTTGGGGGCTGGTGCCAAGCTCACAGATGTCCAAGCTGCTCACAGGGCTGTGGGGAGGGGAAATGCACCAAGGCTGTGCTGCCTGGCCTTGGGGGACTGGTGGAGTTGGGGTCACACTGCCCTGGCACCCACTCACTGCAGTGGGGTAACACCACAGGCCAGAGATGCTTCCTCCTCTGCTGCCTCCCCTGAGCTCCTGGGGACACACAGGACAGCCAGAGTGACACTTTTGGGCTGTGCCACGTCCCCATCAGCTCTCTGACCAGTCAGATCACCAGGTCTGTGGTCTGGCACATGATTTTCCAAACCTGTGGCTCCTGATGGCCCTGGGATGATCACAGGCACATTCCCCTCCTCACCACCCAGGTCTCCCTGTGGCTTCAATTGTTTCTCAGGCAGTTGTCTCTCTTCAAGGCTGGGGACAAATCCATTCTCTGCATGCCCTGGGTGGCTCTGTGCTGCACCCACCCACCTCACAGACCATCCCCACTCCCAGCAAGAGGGGATGTGGCCTGGATGTGCCCACACTGGCCTGGATGTGCCCACTACAGCTGGGACAAGAGGTGCACAGCCCTGGCCCACTCCAGGGACCACCAGCTTGGCCCATTTCATCTCAGTGGGGCAGGACTGAGGGTGGCAGCTCCAGTAGAACTCCATGCAGGGAAGCTCACAAGGGCCAGCCCCCCCAGCTCCAGGCCCTGCCCAGGCTGTCCAAGAGGCACCCCCGGTGAAACCATCCCTCCTACATTGTTTATTTTAGCAACACAAACAAGAGACTGAAATTAATTATTGACTGGGGAGTGCAGGGGCACAGCCTTGCTGGGAAAGGGTCTGGCAAGGACAGCAACCTCCAAGGGACCTGGGGAAGAGGGGATAGGAGCCAGGCCACAGCAAAACACCCAGGAGCTGTGGATGTCACAAGGGATACTGAGGACTCAGCACAGCCCTGCTTGCTGGGGTCCCACACCTCAGCTGATGTGGCAGAGCTGGGCTTCTGGGGCTGAGCCATGGATGCACCTGGCCAAAAGCAGCTGGCAGTCACTGCATGGCTGGAACAGGGTGTTTGCAGGAGCTGGAAATGCAGCCAGCCCTCCTGGGATGCACTGAGCCACTGGGAGAGGGGATCCTGAAACACTCCAGGCTCAGGGCAGCTCTGCCTGAGTCCTGCCACTGCTGCAAACGAAGCAAAGACACGGGGTTCAAAGGGGTTCAAAGCAGAAGAGCGTGTATTGCAAGCGGCTGCGGCGCATCCGGAGAGACTTCCAGCCGCCGGGAGAAAAGAACAGAGGGGTTAAAAACGATCCCAGTCTCTACGGTTACACTGTGTCATGCAAAACAGCCCTGGGGCAAACCCCATCCTGGGAGGCTGGAGGGGAGGGTGTGCTGGCCCAGCCGGACCACCAGTGCTCACCCCCTGCTCCCCACCCGGGGCTGGGCGAGGGGCCAGATGCCTCCCCGAGGGCCGGGGTCCCCCAGCCCTGCTCACCAGTGAGGACGGCGTGTGTGGGGTGGAGGCTGTGGTGGTGCAGGAACAGCCCTTGCTCTCTCCACCCCTTACAAAAAACAAGCCTCACGGGGTGTCTGCCCCCCACCCAGTGGATCGGGGCCAAGGGATGGGGGAAAACACTCAGGCACAACCCACTCTGCCTGGTGGGGCGGCCGGGGGACTCTGAGGAAGGGACCTCCTCCATAAATGTCACTGGCATGCAAACTCCGGTGTCCCAAGAGAGGAGGGGGTGCTCCCTCCCCACGAGTCTGGCAGCGTCAAGGTCCCAGGCAGAGGCCAGCACCGGTCCCACGCAGCCTCCCGCTGTCTCTGGGGAGCTCCATTCAGCTCGAGAACAAGTAAAAACTACTTCAAACCAAACCCATGCAAGGCAGCTATTTGCTCATGTGTCTCGGCGGCTGCCAGACGCCCTGGCAGCGCAGTTCCTCTCCTCTTTGGGGAGGGGGGGAGAGAAAAAAAAAATATATATATATTTATAGGCAGGGGTCCCCGCCGCGGCCGCTCTCCACCGCAGCCTCATCTCTCTGCCTCCATGGTCACGTTGGCCTTCTGTTCTGCGCTGGCCTGCTGGGAGACGGCGGCGGGCCAGCCCGCGGGCTGCGCCGGCGCGGCCGGAGTCCACATGCTCTGCTGCTGCTGCTGCTGCTGCTGCTGCTGCTGCCCGGGCGGAGAGGCCGTGGGCCAGGCGGGGTTGAAGGCCCCGTGCTGGGGCAGCGGCGGGGCCGGGGGCGGCGGGGAAGTCGCCATGGAGGCCACGGGGCTACTGCTGTTGAAGCTTTCGGAGGCCTTGAGGCGGGAGAACATGGTGAGGGCGTCGGGGAAGTTGGGCGGCGTGGCCGGCGTGTTGGCAGGAGTGCACATCTGTGGGGAGGAGACACGGGGTCAGGGGGGTCCCCACATTCTGCCTCCCACTGGGGCACGGCACGAGACCCCTCTGTCCCCCTCCTGATGTGGCATGTGAAGCCCCCAGACCTGTGCTCTGCTGGCTGTGCTGCCCACGAGCAGCTCTATGTAAGGGTCTGAAGGCTCATGCTGTGGTAAGAGCTCCTGACAGAGGGCCCAGACAGGACCCCCTGTGCCCAGCCAAGTTGGGGACCCCCTCTGCTCCACAACCCACTGGTGCCACCCTTCTGCCTCCCACTGAGGCGTGGCATGACACCCCTCTGCCCCCCTGCTGAGGCATGTGAAGCCCCCAGACCTGTGCTCTGCTGGCTGTGCTGCCCATGAGCAGCTCTATGTAAGGCTCTGAAGGGCCCAGACAGGACCCCTGATCCCAGCCAAGCTGGGGACCCCCTCTGCTCCACAACCCACTGGTGCCACCCTGGGCCTGCAGCTTTCTGGCTCTGTGGGCACAAGGTTCAGGCTCAGCTCCCATCCCCCAGGAGACTGGGCATGTTCCAGCCCTGCTGGGCACTCGCTTTGCATGCTCCAAATCTCCAATTGTCCCAGAGAGTCAAACAAGGCCGCAGCAGCCAGTAAATCCTTAAGACACATCTGCCCAAGCAGATTACGGGCTGCTGGGGCATGACAGTTAAGGGACTGAGTCTGGGGACAGCTGGAAGAGAGCAGAGGCAGGCAGCACCCACGTGTGGTGTTTACACACCTCCAGACACTCTGCACCAGAGCCACACTCCAGGAATTGCTCGCTCCAGTGAGCACACAAGGACCTGTGTGTGTGGCTGCTGCAGGATGGGAAGCACCATGGATCTGTGAGTGTGTTTACACAGGTCAGTGCTGCAGGCTCCTCCAGGCTGTCTCCGCCATGCTGAGCTGGTGTGGACCACTGGCTATGCCCAAAACATCCTCCCTCAGACTGTCCCTTTTGGTAGAGCAGCCCCAAACCATCTGCAGGGCTCTGCTGTCCCACTGTCCCACCAGCTGCTCTCCAGGAAAACTTTCCTTGGCAGGCAGCTCTGGCAGTGCCCAGCCAGCCCTCCCTGCCTGCACTCCTGGAGCTGGGAATCATTGAGCTGGACATGAGCACCAGGCTGAAGCACCCGCCAGCTGGTGCTCTGCCCTGGGAGAGCACTGGGGAGCTGGGAAAGCACTTACCATCTGATGGTGGTGGCTGTAGGGGATGTTTGTTTCTTGGAAAAAAGCACTGAGAGCAGTCTGAAAGGAAGGGGAAAAAAAAAGGGAAATTTGATGTTACTACCTGCATCCAAACTGGGCACCCACCTCACCCCTCACACTACTGGACCCCAAAGATGATCCAAACAGGCCCTGGGGGGGCATGAGGGCACAGCTGCTCCCTGTCCCCAGGCAGGGACCTGTGCCTGCCATCTGCTCACACCAGGGCAGGTGGTAACCATGTGTATTTGGGACCACCATCCTTGCAAGGAGCAGCTACTGCTGGGGCAGAGCCCAGCAGGTGTTTCACAACTCACCATGACACTCTGCAACCACCGTGTGCTGGGAAACAAAGGAAACCAAATCCAACCCCACCAGGAACCAGTTAAAGGCATGTCCTCAACAGGACACGATCACAACCCCCATACTGCCACCAGGAGATGCCAGGGCTGCAGCAGGTGCCCACCCCATATGCCAGAACATTTCCAGTTCAGCTGCAGACAGAGCATGATGGGGACTGACGTTGTTTTGTAGCTCCCAGTTAAAACCACTAACAGTCTGGTAAATATGTCACATGCCACAGGCGTGTGAGAGGACAAGAAGGGCTGCAGGTAGGGAAGGCCAGGGGAAGGAGATGGTCAGGAGGGCCATCCCAGCCCAGGTCTGGGAGGAGCAGAGGCAGCAGGAGGTCTGGGGGTGCACAGCACTGAGCTGATGCAGGAATGGTGAAAAGTTCTTTACTCAGAGGGTGCTGAGGCCCTGGCACAGGGTGCCCAGAGAAGCTGTGGCTAACCCATCCCTGAAGTGTCCAAGGCCACGTTAGATGGGGCTTGGAGACACCTGGCATAGTGGAAGGTGTCCTGCCCATGTCAGGGGGGGTGGAACAAGATGATCTTTGAGGTCCCTTCCATCCCAAACCATTCTGTGATTCCATGATGGTGACTCCTGTTCTGTGCCAGGCTTCAACCAAGTCAGGGCTAGAAAACAATGGTTTGATTCAGTTGTAGATGAGACTTGATACAGAACTGGTTTGGATTTATTTTTGGGTGAAGGAAAAGCCCCCTTCAGTCCCATTCAGGCCTCTCCCCAGGGCCTTCAGGTCTCCACTCTGGGGTGTGAGGTGTGGGGCTGTGGCTGGGTGTTGCCACTCTACCCGAGACTCTGCTCCCTTCCTGAGAGCCAGGGATTGAGATTACCCAAACTGCTGGGGGAAAAAAGGCAGAAAAGCCCAGAAAAAGTACAGGGAGGTTGTATCAAACCCTCTCCAATGGCAGCAGTCACAGTCCTGCCACCACCCATGCTTCTCATCCCAGTGTCCACATGCTCTTGTGTCATCCCCAGGGCCAGCATGAATGACACCAAGTCAGCTCAGCTCATTGATCCAATGGGAAAACTAATTTTGCCCCAAACATCCAGGCTGGCAGGCCCTGGGAAGGCAAAGAGGTTTATGGTTTCCTGACTAAACAGCAGAAAACTATTGGTACAACCAGGTGGCAGCCAGAGCAATGTCTGCAAACAATGATCCAGACCTGGGTGGGGGAAGCAATTCCTGCTGCAGAGTCTGGCAGCTCCCAGACCACGGGGGGAGTGTGCAATAGCTGGGCTGGCAGGGCTCTTCCCTGCAATAGCTGCATTTAATAACACAGCACCTGAACTCTGCACCCGGCCACGCTGTGAGCTCTGAGCCCTCAGCTCCTGCAGGCAGGACCCAGCAGATCCCAGAGTGACCATGCAGCAGGAATGGAATGGGGACTGTGGCCCTGCAGAGAGCTCTGCACAGGACAGCACACAGCTCTGCATTGAGGAAATGTCTGACACAGACACTTCTGCAGCAGTGACACCCCCTGCCATGCTACCCTTTGTCCTGGGTGAGGTTGGACGTCAACACCCCGAGGCCCTATCACTGACAGATCCTGATAAGAGAGGGGCAACACCAAACGGGGAACACAGGCAGAGATGTGGGCACAGCCAGACACCATAGGCTGATTAAATCTGCTCTGTGCTCCTCTTTTCCAAGTGGCCTCATATCTGGGACTGTGCCACTGGCAGACAGTGGCAGAGAAGGTCCCTGCTGTCCCCCTGAGCTGCCCACCAACCCCTGCCAGCGCTGGGATGAAAGCAGGGACTGGGCAGAGGAAGCAGCCCACCAGGGCAGTACCCTCTGCCCAAAACACTCTCTTCTCCTCCATCTGCCCCTTTCCAAGCACGGCAGGAACAGCCCCTGTGCCCATCACCAAGCCCAGGACCCCCTGTCACCTCCCAAGGGACCTGCAGAGCCCCAGCCTGGTGAGGGAGAGCCCCACACTCCCCTTGGTGCCACGGGGGCCAGGGACACACACAGGGGGCCAGGGACACACACGGGGGGCCAGGGACACACACGTAACCAAAGCTCCTGATGCCACCTGCTCTCCAGACAGCGTCACAAGTGCCACCGTGACTACTGCAACAGCAAAGCCAATTAAGCCTCCTCTGCTGGAGCAGGAGCCCGAGCCTGGCTCAGCTCAGACCCTGGAGCCAAGGCCCCAGTGCCTGTGTCACCCTGGAGTGCAGGGGAACAGGGCAGCCACGGCCTGGCCACACTCAGCAGGTGACCAGGACACTGTGCCCCCTCCCAGCATGCAAAACCAGGAGCTTCACAGGAGAGGGATCACACAGGGACCCTGCCAGGGTGCCAAGAGACACCTGTGGTGACTCAGAGAGAGGGTGGCTGGAGGTGTGAGCCCTGCCAGCATGGAGCACCCAGCAGCAGGGGCAGCCCTGGCAGCACCCTGTCCTTGAACCACAAGGAAGGGGCTTCATGAAATGTAAATACACCAGAGGAAGTGAAATCCAGCCACAGACACAGCAAGTGAAGCCAGACACCTGCTCCTCTTCTTGTTCCCCACACACAACCTCTCTACACTGAACAGAGGCTCTTAGCACCAGGAAAAGGAAGGAATGGGTGGGTTTTTTTAGAAGCAGCTTTTTCTCATTCCTTCCCAAATAGCCCCAAGGGCAATGAGCACATAAAGCCAAATAATATCTTTCTACCAATAAAAGAGCTTGATCCACTGCCCAGCCCCATGTGAGACTCTGCAAACTCTGAAATGTCTGCCTGGTAACCTGCTGGGTTCCAGCCACAGAGGAGCTGCCTTCCCTGGCTTCTCCCAAAAAGCCAGGCCCTGGAAGCTGAGTGCCAGCCTTCACCCAGAGACACTCCAAGCAGCTTTCCTGGGCCTGTAAACCTCCCCCTGGGATCAGCCATGGCACTGCTCCAGCTGCTGGAGGGCTGGGCTGGCAGTGCTATTCCAGCTGGCACCCACAGCAGCCATCCCTGGAGGCATGGAAAGGCCCACAGAGCTACAAAAGCTGCAAATTAAACTGGGCACAAGAGGACAAAGCCTGCCCAGGGTCCCTAGGAAACAGGAGAGCAGTTACAGCGAGTGGGAGAGGCAATCCACACCCTTCCATGAACTGCCCTGTTCACCAGGGATACATGGGATGAAAAAAAAAGGCTCCTTAATCAACCCCAAGTATGGGACAGACTCTGATCAGCTCACAGCACAGCCAAAGGTGACTGTATCCCGAATGTTTTCCTGACCTCTGACCCTGCTCACTGTCCTGGATCATGTTCCTTCTGCCCTGGAAAAGCTCTGGGTCTGCCAGGGCTGGAAAGACACACACAGAGCAAATCCTCTCTGCAGCCCTCACTTCATCTTCCTACACACAATGGACCCTGAGCAGCCAGACTCAAAAACAGCACAACTCCAGGGAAGCAGTCCTGAAACACCAACATCCCAAAGCTGCCTGTGCTTCACAGCAGCCTCCCTCTCCCTCCTGCTGCTGACAAACACCCCAGGGGCTGTCACAGGCAGCAAATGGGACACTGGCCCACAAAGGAAAGGTCCTGGGCAGGGCAGATGGATGCCAGGAGTGCCCTGGCCAGGACAGAGGCACAGAGCTGGGACAATCCAGCTCCTGTTGTGTGTCACTGTGCCACTGAGCTAGCCTGGCTCAGTGCAGAACACCTCTCTGTCCCCGTGGTGGCCTCACAGGCAGGAGCAGAACGCTCAGGTACAAGCAGGCTGACGGCATTCACGGTGCCCCTGGAGGAACGCTGTGACTCCAAGGAGATGTTAATTTATGCTGCCTTCCCTCGTGCTGAACTTGCCTGAACTCCCCCGATTTACACTCACTGCAGATGCACAGCAGCCAGCAAACGGGTGCTGCACTGGAATAACAAAAGGCTCAGGAGTACTCCAGAAGGGAGGTGAGAGCCGGCTGGAGCGCTCGGGAGGTGATCCCTCCCCAGCGTGGCTCCCAGGAGGAGCCGTGCCCAGCGGCCATTTTGCAGAGGGAATTATCTGACCGTTGCACCAAAAGTGAGTGGGAACATGGTAACGGCAGCGTTTGTTTACAGCCCAGCTTCCTCTGAGTCATGTGAGTGCCCAGCCGGCAGGAGACGGCTCTTTCTACTTGTGCAACTCGCCAAACGGTGGCAAAGTTCTGCAAAAAAAAAAAAGCCCTTTTGAAAGGCACGTTAAAAACTTCTGTCATCCCTCGCCGGCTCTTTTGCGACACGCACGGAGGTGGTGGAAGAGGATCCCGCCTGTCCCAGAGGGCCACAGTCAGGCTGTGTTAGTAAACAAACGCCGGAGCACGTTACACATGCAGCACACCCCACGCCAGCCGTGCTCCCGTTCACCGGGCACGGCGGGGGCATCGCCGGCCGGATCCTCCGCACATCCCTGCGAGCCCAGCCGCGCTCCCCGGCCACGCACGGCTCGCTCTGGCCTCCTTCCCGGCCTGTGATAATGTGGGAATGCTGTGCCCGCACGGCGATGGGCGCCGTCCCTACCGGGTCCGCCCGGCCGCTGCTCCATTAGGGAACAGCCCCGGGACAGCCCCGGCAGGGAGGAGAGGTGCTCCGGCCACCGAGAGGAACCAACGGAGCCCGCTGCTCCCCAGCCTGACTCAGAGCTGCTCCCGCAGCACTGCACAGACATTTCAATTACCGAGGTGCCATTAGCGTCAAATCCATCAGCTCCAACCTAGGGAGCTGCAGAAGAGAAGGAAAAATCCTATTTAGAAAGCAATTTATTGGCGACGGCCACTGCACTGCTCTTTGCTCCCTGCACTTCGGCTCCGGGTATCGCGGCAGGAGCTGAGCGCCCCGAAAGGCACCGGGGAGCTCGGCCGGCGCCCCCCGCCCCACGCGCGGCCTTAACCCCTGTCAATGTCACGGAGTATCCCGCCCGCGAGCGAGAGGAAAAGGCGTCCGGAGCCAGGAAAGCTTTGACCTACAAAGTCTCCTCTCCCACGGCTGCCCGAGAGCTTCAACTCCCCGGGGCAGGGCCGTGGGAAAGGCAGCGCTGGGGTTTTCCAGCCCACGGCCACGCGGGAGGGCTGCGGCGGGGGCGGGGGGGAACAGGACGAGGCTTCGGCGGATTCGGCGATCCCGGCCCGGCCGCGCTCCGGCGTGGGGCCCCGGGAGGCTGCGAGCCCCTCTCCGCGCACCCCCCGCGCAACGTGGCCTCGGATCGCCCGCCCCGCGTGGCGCCCACGCTCCCCCGGGCACCGCCGGGGGCCCGGCCCGCGCCCGGCCGCCGTTACCGCGCGTGTGGGCGGGCGGGGGGGCAGTGATGTGTCCGCAGGGCCGGGCTCCGATCCACGCTGCCCGAACCCCCCCGCGATGCCCCCGTGCGGGGACCCGCCCGGCGCCGGTACCGGGGCGGCGGCCTCACCTCGAACTGCCAGTGGGCCGCCTGCAGCAGCTGCTTGGCCTGGTCGGCGGCGCATCCGGCCGCCAGCACGAACTGGTTGATCATCACCTGGTGCTTGAGCTCGTCCATGGCCCCGGCCCCGGCCCCCGCCGCCCTCAGGGCGCCGCCAGCACGGCGGGGCCGGCGGCTCACGCCAATGTTTACCGGGCACTGACTCACGGCGCCCGCCCAGCCCCGCCCACGGCCGCCCGGGGCGGGGCGGCCCGGCTCGGCCCGCGCGGAGCCCCTGGGACTTGTAGTTCCTGCTCACCACGCCGCCCGCCGCCCTGCCCCCGCTCGGACCACAACTCCCAGCAAGCCCCGCTCTGTTTGAGGAGCGCTCGGCGCTCGTTGAGTGACGCCCTGGGCCTGCCAACCGCCGCCCGCGACTTGGTAGTACCTGACCGTATATGGTCAACAACGGCGCTGCCCCCAATGGGAGGGCGGCGGGGGCGGGGCCGCGCGCGGGGCGGGGCCGCGCCGGGGCGGGGCCGCGCGGTCACGTGGGGACGGGCGGTGTTTACAGTCGGCCGCGTGCGGTTTCCTGTTGACGTGAGGGAGCGGCGGGGCGGGGCGGGGCCTGCCCGGGGGAGCGCTGCAGCCCCTCGGCACCGCGAGCCCCCGCCGGCCCCGCCGGTACCCCTCCTGCAGCCTACGGGGGTTCGGTGGAGACCCCTTGGCTCGTAGCTGCCATACAGCCCGAGAGGCGGCGGAGCAGCAGCCCCTTGGCCCCCGCGCCTTCCTTCCGTGCTAATAAACCATGGGCGCGTTGCCCACCCCATCCTGGTCGCGTTTCCCCTCAGCCGCAGCGTGTCCGTGCGTCGCTGAGGCGGCTGAAGGGAGAGGCAACAGCGAGGGAAGGTTCTGGAAGGTGCCGGGGGCTCCCGGCGCTGTCAAAGGCTCCTTTGAGAGGCACAGCCGATGGAAGCCCGCGGGCAGGCCGGGCGGACAATGGTGGTGCTCAGGATAAGCAGGGACAGCCCCGCGGTTCACTGGCCGGGGCTAAGAACACCAGGGAAGAGATGAAGGGAACTGCCGGCTCCAGCTTTCCTGAGCGGAGGCTCTGGGCTGTTTCTACAGTTTGGAGAGGTTTGCCTGGCCGTGAGTGAATTGTTCACTGACGCCTCTGACTCTGGCTGGCATTTTGCTGGTGTTTCTGAGCCTTGAGGATTGAATGGCTGAAGTTCAGGCAGGTAATGCACTTGATCAGTGGGGTTTGCAGCCTCCACTGTGTGGACAGGAATTGTTCTGGTATTGTCCAAAGCTAGTCACCATTGTCCACAGGTTCTTTAGTAACCATTCTGGAGTTACACAACCAAGCCTTGGAGAGTTTCAAGGCCAAGGGGTTTCCCTTTTCATTCTATATATCTCACTGCCTAAATCCAAGTGACAGCACAGCTGTGCATGGCAGCGGGACATAGCAAGAGCTGACTGCTCATTTCTTAAAAGGTCAAGACAACCCCCAGAGAGAGGTGACACAGGGAGATTTGTAGCCACCAAGGTGTAAATACAGCAGGAAAAACTAATCTCCTGAATGATTACTTTAATCAGAAAGAGCCAGGCATGTTTAGAAACCTTGCAGTTTGGTGTTTGGAGGGAGAAGGGTTGGGCCTGGCCTGGCAGGGCTTTCGGGAAGGGTTGTAAGCCCTCAGAGCAGGGCAGTGTTTAGGGAGGCAAAGTTCATGGGCTCACCACTCCTTCTGGTGAGCTGTAACTCCGTGTGTGTAGAACAGCCTTGTTGTTTACACGTACCTGACAAACCCAGCGAGTGGCAGTGGGAACAACATAGACAAAGCGCTGGGTAATAAACCCCAAGCAACTGGACTTTGGATGAGCTGCTCTGGTGACCGGGAGTTTTCCAGGAAAACAGATTTCCTTGTTTACATGGGTGTGCTCGTAGCTGCCTTCCCAGCAGACATGTCCAAGGAGGCTCCTGAAGGGCAGCTGGGGGTGGCTGGAGAAATGTGGCAGTGGGAGGGTGGGTGTCCCTTGGGTGGGGTTCAAAGGATCCCTCATCTTTTCCTGGGTGGGTTTTGCTGAGCTGGAAGGCAGTGCACGAGCTGAGGTCTCCTCAGCACCCCTGGGGCTCTGCAGGCTCCTGGTGGCAGGAGCCCTGGCCCAGTTTCACCCAGTTTAACCACTCTCACGCCACACCATGATGGCACTCAGGTCCCTTGAACCTTGTGAAAATGTTTTCATCCCTTTCTCACAGACCTCCCGTCTTTGTGGCTTTCCTCCCTCATGGTGCAAGCAGACCCTGGGGCTGGCAGCACCAAAATGGGGACAAGCACATCTCAGGGAACCCAGAGGTGAAGGTGCAAAACCCACTGGGGTGACACCACCAGCATTTGTGAGGCTATTGCTGCTTCTTGCAGCTGCCACAGTGCTCTGGGCTGGGGGAGTGCTGCTACCTGAAGAGCTGTGGGACCCTGGTGTGGAAAATGCATATTTTATGATAGGCTTTTTGCAAATACTAAAATGAATATTATATGTGTTGTGTTAGAAAGTAATGCTGTATTAATTCTCTTAAGTAGTGTGTTAAATATAGTTCTGGGTTATAAAAAGATGTTAAAATAGAATTAAAATAGAAACTATGCTATGTAGGATACTTTATTTTAAAGAAAGGACTTGCAGTGAGATGGGAGCCACAGGACACCTGAATCTTTCAGAGAAAAAGAATTTATTGCTCCATTATCAGAAGAAATTAACTTCTTCCCACCTTGAAGGCGCTGTTAGGATTCAGAGGAAGAAGCTGACACTGCCCAGACAGAATGCTGTATTTGAATGGAATTTATGCATCATGTATGAGGTGTATGAATATACAACAGGCTGTTGTATTTAAGGGTTAATCCTCTGTTAATGTGTGTCCTTTTTCAGGCTTGTGCTGCCCAGAAAAAGTTACCTGGACTGTCTGTAACCCTTTGTCTCTATTGTCTTATATTGTCCTAATTCAAGTTGTCCAAATTATTATTCCTCTAATTATATTACTATTTTTATAACCATTTTGTTACTGTTAAACTTTTAAAACTTTAAAAACAAGTGATTGGCGTTTTTCACACTGCATCCCCTCTCCTTCCCGTGCTGCTGCCCGTGGCCCTGGATGGGATGGAGGAGGCCATGGTGCGATATCCTGCCTTTGTGTCCCATGGGCCAGGCAGGAGCAAAGGAGCTGCTGCCCTCCAGCCCTGCTTGCTCCGGGCCCTGGGATTTGGGCAGGAAGGGCTGAGCCCCGCCCTGGCACACCGCTGCTATTGTCGCTGTGTGTCACACACGGGCCCTCCGGGACAGATTCCCCAGCAAAGCCCCTGCCCTCCTCTCGGGAGTGTGCAGGTTATTGCAGCGCCCAGACACGTGAAAAGTTTCTGTTTTGGCCCGCACGTTTGAAGAATGAGTTGGAGTTCTTCAGTTCTCAGTCTCAGAGTTGTTTATTGGATCTTATCTATAAAAATTTTTCTCCTGTCAGGCTGAGGTCTGCTCAGCAGGACAGACAGAGGCACTCTGCCCCCAGGGTGGTGTTATCTCTTTATACTACAAACTACATATAACATGTTTACAATTACCTATCCCCTATGTTAGACAGTGAGTTTCTATTCTAAACCAATCCCAAAGTGCCACCATCACAGCAGAAGATGGAGGCAGAGAAGAAGAAGAAAGGCTGGGCATGCCCAAGTCCCTCCATCTTGTCCACAAAACCCCTATTCTAAAAACCCCAAAATCTACTTTTTCACCTAGTGATAATTTTATTATTACACTACTTAAACTTCTGTGACTTTCAGGTCTTCATACAAAGCTGGTAATTTGCTCCATGGGGCATAATCAAACCCACAGGTGTTCTGGGCTGTGTGCCAGGGTCTCTGAGCCCTCTGGCAGGGGTTTTGGCAACTCTGGACACCCAGAGGGATGTACTGAGTTCCGACACCCTCCCAGATGGCAGCAACCCCCGCAGGGCCCGACGGCTTCCTCGGAGCACTCCGGAGAGCCTGGCAGGGACCTTCCCCCTGCTGGAGGAACAAAACCCCTCCTGCCCTCCTGCTGCAGCTTCCCGGGCAGAGCCAACACCCCCGGCTGTGGGACCGGGCTCTCCCTGCTTAACCCCCCTGGCACCGAGCTCGTAGCTGCTCAGGGAGTGTGGGTTTGCAACGAGATGATCTTTAATGTCCCTTCCAATCAAAACTATTCTAGGATTCCATTATTCTGTCCCAAAAAAAGCTCTGGGGCAGCTGCCTCTGGATGCCTCTTTGAGCTGGAGAAGGGCAGGATGCTCTCAGTGCTCAGGCTGTGGGAGGAAAGGGAGAGGGACTCTCATCTTCAAATTCCCCTCCTTGCCTGCTTCATGGTGCAAACACTCCTCTGCTTTGGCCCCAGTTCTCAGGACAGCACAGGGAGATGGACCCACTGATCCTTGCTGTGCCCAGGCTGCTCCAGCTCAGCCCCAAATTGGCTGCTGCCCTGCAGAGTGAGGCCTTGGGGGTTGTGGATTCACCCTGCTCAGTTTGGGGCTGCTGGTGGCTGTTCACATCACCCCACTGCTGCCAGGGCACTGCCCACAGCTTGTTCCTGTGGCTGTGCAGGCAGGGAGCTCTGAACACGCTCTGGGCCAGCACACATGGATGGTCACTGTGATGGTCAACAAACTCCATCCCTGTCCCTGTGATGGTCATCAGACTCCATCCTGTCCCTGTGAGGATCCTGGGGGACACAGCAGAGAGGTGCCAGGCACAGTTACTGCCAAGGCACTGCCAGAGCCTGGGGCTCCCCTGTGCCAGGTGCAGGGTATTCATCTCTTGTGGTTGGCCAGCAGGACTTGTTGCTCATTCTGTATTTTTTCCCTGTTGTCCTTCCCAGCCCTGCTGCACAAAGGGATGCAGAAGAGCAGGGTCTGCTCCTGTCCTCACCCCCAGCATGTGTTGCCCTGCATCCCGTGCCTCTCCCAGCCCCTCTGGCTGTGTTTGTGTGGCCACAGCAACTGCAGGGATAATGCCTGTCCGGAAGCACGTTTGGCCTCGGGATTGTTTGCTTATTCCTGCTGGGCGTGTTTTAGTTTGTGTTTACAGCCAGCAAATTCCACCCACTGCCTGCTCACTGCTGTCACAGAATCCTCCCGTGCTGGCAGGCTCTGCTCCCTCCCTGCTCCATCCCATTTCCCTAAATCCCAGCCCTCTTCCCTGCTCCCAAGGCCAATTTAAGGGATTTCACACGCGCCACCTCAGCT